GCCAAACGTGCCGCCGCCTCGGCCACCCTGGCCGAAAGATTTATGAAGAGAGAAATAGTAAGACCGTTTTCTCTTTCGCGCTCTCGCCCTTTTCGGAATCGATGTCAAAATACGCGCTTAAAGGACGCGTTTCCTGCCGGCTCGAATTTGCCACGATATGCGTGTTTTGCCGTTTCTTAATTAAATGCTGAGGGGCATTTCAAGAAAAACAGAAGCCGCGTGCCGTCGACGAGTCCAAGGCAACTATGTTAATGATCGTTCTACAAATTAATTCGAATTATTTTGATGGGTCATTTCCTCGGTTGAATAACTGTCCTTTCGAGCGTCAGTTAGCTAAGACGAGACGGATACTATCGAGTAATTGCAACGTGTCGTTGGTTTTGACAGACGGCACTGTAACACTTGGTTTCTATCGTTTAGGCAGTCGTGTAAACCGTGTAATTTGGGACGTTGCTCGGCACACCGCCGAAATATCTTGCGGAGATTCCTAGGATTGATATATGTGTGGGCGAATCCGGTACCCTTTCATTTCGTGCCCGCGGGACTCGAGATTTGAGAAATAACGCCAAGGAATTAAAGAGGTTCGCCTTTTAAACAGCGCAATCATGTCATTACGGAAAATACTATCTTTTGACGGTGTAATGATATATATAGCAGCGATGACTCAAACAATGTGGCACGGACTATTTCGTGTGGGTAGATATGATAAGTTGAAACTGTGTTAAGAGTTGTTATTTTAGCCAGCACACAATGTCTTTTTCTCAGTCGGTGAATGTACATGTACAAATTTTTAGAATAAAACGCAAAATGTATTAGAAGCTTCCTTCCTTACGTTGTTTGAAATTTTTGACGTGTGCTTGGTAAGATCTTGAAAAACATGTTTTTATCGCAAAAACTTTCCCTCCACTTTAATTCAGTGTGATTAAAATATTAAATATTACACACATTAAAATATTAAATATTTTAATCACACGAATGACATTTCTTGATAAAAATATATATTAAAAATAATCAATGTTAGTAAATGATGAAATAATTCGCTAAATGTTCTTTATAATTTAAAAAATAGGAATATTATATAGAGTAAAATATAAAAATGGAACATCGAGTGTAAAGTCTTATGAAATTTATGTTTGTTAGGAGAATATTTAAATAACATCGATATATAAAATTTATATATCACTAGAATGCAAAATTTAATTGAAATGCCAATTTCAGATCATATGTTCTATTTCTATTTTCGAACCTATCTGTCGTATCGGTTCAATAATTTCCATGTCACTTTGATACGCTAAATTTCCCAATACTTAATTCGCCCGTAAAATCGCGGCACAATGATCGTAGAAAACTTTCTCCGAGCGGAATGACATTTGGGCTTCGGTGAAAACGGGAAGACATCCATCTTTTCGGATCTTTATAGGTCTATGAGCGTGCCGAGGCTCGTAAACGGAGCCACAAAAGAGCAAACCGTTCGGTTGCTGCGATCATCTTAAGTGTCCCCGAAAAGTATCCCCGAATCGTTTCGAAATAGGACCTCCGCGATGTGGGATTGCCCGCACGCTGCAGGTATACACGCTAAGAACGTCATTTGAACCGTGCCATTGTCAATTTCACGACGACAATGGCGACAGCTGAAGGATCAAGCCAAACATTGAGACATATCCCTTGTTGCTCCTGTCACCGTTGTTCCTCCCCATTTTTTCCCGCCCGTCTTCCCATCCCCGTGGCTTGGACATTATTACAAAAATATTGGAAGCTCGTCGCACGAGAGCGCATCCCCTGCAGCATTGTCGCGGCGAACAGAGTCCGCGCAACGGGGGAAGTTTCTGCGCGATTCCTACTAAAGACGAAATCGGATTCACGTGGTCAGACCCTCCGTAAGAACTTTCTCATATAATCGAGGCGCTAGGGCTTCCTGAAAAAATATTTGGAACACCTGCACCGTTACATCATCCCTGTGACTGATCCATCGCTCGGCAGCTGATCTTATGATCATGATAAACACAACGGGGCATTTGATATGTTTGTGTTGAGAAGTGTGAGCGATATTATCCCAACGAGACACCCAGTAATTCTATATTTATACCAACTAATTGATGTATCTGTCGCACGTGTGTAATAATCCTCCTATTTCGAATCTCTGAATAACAATCTATTTCGGAATAGCAAACTTTTTCTTGTATATATTAATAACTTTTTGTTGAAAATTTAACTAAATACAGTTTACTTCTAATAAATTATAATTTGATTTATTTAATTGTCCAAGACTGTAAATGTCTTTCACTCGAAATAATAATTGAGTAGAATTAAATGACATATATGAGTTACGTTAAATATTAAATTTCAATAGTGTAAAAAATGTCGCAAACAAGCATGCTTATTTACCCTCTAACGTTAACTAAATAGTAGATGTCTATGTGGTTAATTAAAAACAGGGGGAAAGAGAAGAAGTAATTAATTAAATCCAGGTTTGCGTTGCTGGCAATATAGCATGGTATTACATCACTTAATAAACAAACGAGATGTTTCATTTTTCCCATTAACTACTTTTCTGTATAAACAAGAATACCGCAAAAAAGTTCGTTATAATAGCTGGCATAATCAATGAAGATTGTTGATTAATATGATTTCACTATCGTATATAATTGTTTTCAGATTGAATTTAAATAACGTTTGCCGTAAATAAAAAGCGATGGAGATGAAATAATGTGTGGACACGGTACCACAGTAAGGGAGAACCCGTGTAATTTCGAATTACATGGCGCTCACGTATTTTAGAAAATATTTGCTACATCAGCAGTTGTGTGCAATCCCCCGCGGCAGGGAGAACCCACACAGTGAATTATATCCGCGTGTCCGCATAAAGCGTCATTAGATGGAATACTTCACGGACGTGCATTTGCGACTAACCGACATAAATTTGAACATGTACGTGTCTCGCTTTTCCGACATTGGGAAGCTCCGCTATTTGAACGACGTTACTGGAATATCGACGATTATGTTTCGCAATGGCGATACATCTTTCTTACATTACTCAATAAAGGCATTTGTTTCAAACTGCGACTTGCAAAAGAAACGCGACACTCCGGTCAGAATCTATTATTTTCACAATGCAGCAAAATTGGGATTAAATCACCATTTTCAATTTAAAAATTAAATAAAACAGTATAATTCGTAAAATAATAATTAGAGAATAATTATATAGCATATTAATAAAATCGAAACAAACCAACTTATTTACTAAAAATGAAAAAAAGCAATTTCTTGCGCTTATTGAATTTCTTGTATCGCGAAGATTATTATAAATAAAGCATAAAAATTATAGTTTCAAATTTAGTGCAATGTTTCTCTAGACATAAACCAATTAATTTTTCTGGCTCTTGTTTACACAAAAGAACTTGTTTTATATTTGAATAAAGGATTTAATTCTTCATCAATATAGTAAGAATGTCGCATCGATTCCAAGTTTAACGTCTTCTCACGGCAAAAGAAAGAAAAATTTACAAGAGGCAAGCGGGCTTCACCGCGGGAAATTTCATATAACTTTGAGCCGACGGATATTCACGTTGCCTGAAAAATGTTTGGCACACCTGCGGCGTTACGTGATTCCCCGTGGCGACACGACTCCGATTTCGTGAGCATAAGGAGGCCGTGAGCGAATGCACGCGTGAACGCGGAGTAGTTCCCTCTTACGGAACACTTGCATGGACAAAATCGTCATTAGCGCGACCGACAGCGATTCATTCCCGCGACAGAGTCTCATAAAGTCGATGAGGAATCGGCGGTATCCCCTCGTGATGAGGTCGTTGAGCGCGGTGACGCGGCAAATTCTTTTCCCCTTTAATGCGACTTTAAATTCCGTTAAATTTATCAACACTACATCCTCAACGATCTTTCACAACGTAAGTGAGTTGTTAGAATCTCGTGCGAGTTCAAAGAACCGCGATAAGATCTTTGGAAACATCTTACAAGCGTTGGCAATTGAAAGATGCAATTAATTAATACAAGGTCGCACAGTAATGCGCGTAATTGTCATGGTAAAATTTATAATGGCTACAAGAGATACATTAGCTAATCTCTTGTAGCCATCAAAACGCTTTCATTAATCTCGCCGATACGTTTCCAATATATGATATATTTCGATGTACGTTTCCATTGTATGATATACTGCGACGTTTGATTGTATATATCTACACGTATACAATATATTTATCCCTGTTATTTCAAAATTAAAAAATTAAAACAAAATCAGAGAACATGTCTATCGCAAAATTATTGAATAATGTTAATATAATATGCTATTATATAAAACATATATTAAATCAATGCTATATTAATAATTAATAAAGTTTAATATAAACTTCATCTACGTTTTCGTCCAGAGGGTTTACACCGGAATGAAAAAAATGACAAAAATAAAATTATCCACGAGCACTGCTGTAATTAGAGTTAAAATATTAATTCGATAGGATTTTTGCAAAGTCACGCATATCGTTTAGCATGCTCTTTCAACGGACTCGTTAACGATAAATATCATATAAAGGCACTTCACGCGCGGATAACAATCGTGGCGATTATAGTTTCATTATTTATGTCTGCTAGATAGACTGCAAACGGAAGGATGCCGTATCGACGCTACGTGACGGTGAATGCTGCATTTTTAACTGATCGCGCGACTATCCTCCGTATCCTTCCGTTGTACGCGACGGAAGCTTGGACGAGGGTGTGAATAAAATGTAGGCCGTATAAATAATCAAAATCGCCGTCGAGGTCGCGTTCTCGCTTCTTGTAAATTTACCATGTAGATTGTTACTTTTACATACCGAACGCGTGATCGATCGCAGATTTGTGCAAGCTGAGACATTCCAGTCTACTATTACGCCCCGAAATCAGTTATTAAACGTCAAGTTCGTCTTGTACCGAGATATTTTATCTGATACAATTTTTCATAAATCCATTACCTCGATATAAAGTAAAAAAATTAATACTTTAACACTCACCGGCACCGATGCGCAGCAGTGGAGTTATGTACTACGTTGATCTGTAAAATACAAACATATTCAAATTATTACAGCGTCCAGATAATCTGTATTTCGGAAAAATTATTATCGCGCGCGTTTAACTTTTTCATTTTTTCAGTAGATATTAATGCAAATAATTATCATTTTTAAAAAAGCTTTAATTATTACTTATATAACCCAAATAAACGATACAAACGAAACCAAACGGTATGTAATGAACATAATACTGCGAATAATAAACAATTTATGAGAAATAAATTACCTTACAGTTGCTCCACCGTTGCCTGATGCCTCTCAGGCCTCCTCCTCCTCTCAGGTTTCTTCGTTGCACTTATATTCACTCGCGAAAGCTAATTACGATCGCGTGAGACGGCACTCGCGAAAATACAACTAATTACGATCGCGTAAGACGGCACTCCCGGTATAACTATGTAGTTACTATTAACCGTGTATCACATACGCGTTTCTTTACTTAGTTCGAATCCTTTAGTCCAGCGACACGGATATCTTCATAATTGATCAGCAAAGAGATCACTGCGAAAAAAAGATAAAACGCAACATAAGATAAATTCGAATCCAAGTATTAACAGAGCTATTATCACTTTAAACATTACAACAAAACAATTATTTACAATTCTTCTGTCTATCGCGCTTCGAGTTTAATATTAAACGAACAAAGCGCGGATAAACGGTGTCGATGTGATATGCACCGTGCGAGGGTTAATTGACCACGCGAATTGTTAACATCTAAGGAAATGATCGCGCTTGATACTAGTCACGATCGCTATTCGAGAGATAATAACGCGGAGGTACACGGGAGCAGCTTGTGTTACTGCCGACCTGCCGCCCCGAGTCACTTGTGCGAATGATAGAGCGCTCCGCCTTGTGTACACGTGATAGCGCGGCGCGGTGACCTTGTGTGCACAAAAACGCTTTACGGCACAGGCAACGAACCCTGTTTCAAATTTATCACCACGACGCGACGTATTTAATATGAAATCAATGTGCGCTCAATTATTAATTAACGGTTGCTGCGTTAGGATTCTTTGTCACATTCGATTCAGCGATTTGTACGTTCCATACTCTCAATTTGAATATAACAGATTAATTATGTTCGGGTCGGCAAAAAGTTAGAGAATGGTCGTTAAATTACTATCGCGCTAAATATTACAATTTAGATTTGTACTCATATTCTTTTATTATTTCAATTTTTATTTGATAGAAATGAATCACGTGATTAACTATCTCGATAAACAGTTCTCTCAATCTACGAAGCACACGAGTTAATTGCTAATCGTGAAGTATAATGAGAAACGATAGTAAGTTAGAACTTCTTAAAACACGCAGAAATTTACGGTGACAATAAATTATTGTTTCCATTTTTTGGTCACACATAAAGGTGAATTTTATTTTCCAAAAATAATCATTTATAATCATTTATTTTTGAAACAGTAATTAATTAATAATTCAAATTTTCATTTAACAAAAGTACTAAATAATTTATGCATGTAATAATTAAAATTTGTTAGTAACAATTAGCTCGTTAGACATTAATTGTGCAACTTCAATCGCTAACAATTTGGAAACTGTTGTAATCTCGTAATCATTTTTATAGTTTAATTTCAGTTCTAATTAATCTCTTGAATGTGCGAATTATTGCGTGACAATTATGAGTGATTCTGTGACAGAAATTGTTACACATAATTATTAACGAATTTATTAATAAATAAAGACCGAATGTATACCGAACATGATAGAGCTGACGTAGCGAAGCTTTGACTCCGAGATTAAATTTAAATTCGCCAGTGCGACGCATTGCAATCTGTATTTTCGACGAAACTGGGCGATAAACCGAACTGCAATTTCATGCATACGTCATCAGGAATGGTAGGAATCGTCGACGGTAAGCGTCACGTGCGACGTATGTCGATCGTCGCCGAAATACACGGAAATTCTCCCATTGCTCCTAGACGCCTACGAATGGCTCGTGAATTCCAACAGAGAAACCGACGCCGGCATTTGGGAATTATATATCGATCGCTGATCGATCGACGATACCAATAAAGACGATCGCGCCAAACAGCTTGTTCTACGATAGCAATCCAACGAAATTTAGCATTCCGATGTATAGTACAATTAGAGTAGACGGGGGCGTCTAATAGGATAGGAATTCTATGCCATGACGTAATATGCTTTTCGTTTAAACAAACAAAAATTTTTAATATATACAATATTTTATCTGCGTTTATATTTTAGCAGAATTTACGTATAAATCTATAACGTAAAACTTTTAATTTCGTGACTCTCGCGAAAAAAAAATTATTAGTTTTTTCTTTCGATATTTATTACTTTTATCTTTAATAGAAATTTATGTTTTTCTATTATCGCATTGTATAAAAATTAAAACAGTCACCGTTTTGTTTCAAGCATAAAATTATTAATTTCCGTTTATCAATTGTAAATTAATTTAGTGTAACATCCCCGCGATACCGAAAGTTCTGCGTTAAACACGAGATTGCACGCTTCATTGTCCACTTGCTTTCTCAGATGACGATCACACCTGACCGAGCGGAACAATTTTACAGCGAGTCACGGCCCCGCTGAAAAACTCTGGGTGGGACTTGATTGTGGCGCGAGAATCGATCGCGTGAAAAGACGAGGGGAAAATGAAAAATGATGGTTTCGACGGCCGAATTTTGTCTTCTTACGCGCGCTCGGATTTTCGGCTTTAAAAGCCGTTAAACACATCGATCGGGGAAAAAGGAAGTCGCATCAATGATTCAATATTTACGCACAATGCCGATGAAATTGGTTTTAAGGGCCCCACCCGCGTCAATAGGTCCGTTGTGGAGAGGCCCCGAACGTTTCCTCGCGCATATTTCTCGAGCCGACACCCTCGCGCATGAAAACCATTTGGGAACCGCGTCACGGAACACATTGAACATGAATCTTGTAACAGCATCAAATTTCGCGCTCTCTCTCTCTCTCTTTCTTTCTCGGCCTCAACTAATAGTGTGCAACGGACCAATTTTCGTGACAATATGACGCAATGTTCGTCGATTAATCGATCCAGCAAGACCCTTCGTGGGTGTTCTGATTTATACACGCAAGAAATATAAAGTAAACCCTACTAATAACTAATATTATGTGTGAGACGAGAATTAGGATTGTTTCTTTTTCCTAGGCACGATGTTCGTATGAATACGTTAAGTATGTATAAGAGGGCTCGTTAGAATTTAATTATCGTGTACGCATAGAAGATGCCGGCACGTTATAAATTACTATTGACCCCTGCTAAGATTTTAACGATGTCATTAGAAATTGGATTTATCCTTTACAACAGGTCTGAGAAATATGACCCTGTTGTGAAAATGTTGGTTTAATTACATAATTCATTTACATAATTTAATTACATAATTCAATGTACCGCGTGAAATAAAATATTTAAAGCAACTATTTTTAATTATTAATTAAGATTTATTCTTTAAGATCAATTAATCGGTCATTAATAAGAAAATATTATCGCAAAAATTGTGCAACTTTGCTTAAAAAAATATATATGAAAGCTACGTATATTAAGTATTTGTTATTATTTCTTTCATATTGTTTTATCACAGTACGTTTTATAATAGTATCACTGACAATTTGTCTTTTGCACGTATTAGTTTTCTATGCACGCGTCAGTCTCGTGGAAGATTTATTGAACTTATTATATTGTATATAAAATTCTGTTACTAAAAGAAATAGATTTCATAACCAAAATGAAAAGTAGCGTGAAATATATCGAAAAAATTTGTGAAGTCAAGACGTGAACATTTGTAATAGTTACGATACTTTCAATAACGTAATTGGCGAATGCCAATAAAACGGGTATACCTTTCACGCTGCTTTTTATTTCGGTTATAAGACAAATCCATTTTTCTTAGCAAGAGAATTTATAGCACGACCACGTACATTTGATATGTGCGTCATCTTCTCAATATATTTATATATCGATTGCTTTATATATCCGCTTATACAAATAAATAGTGCAATTAGTACGATTTAATAACAATAAAATTAAAACCTGTAATTTAATAAACTTTAATTAATTTGAGTAATTAAATAATTGTATTTATACGTTTAATTATATGTTAATTAACTCGAGTAATTATAAACTCTAGATTTCGCAATTATAATTCACCGTCCTCCTCGGAGCGACGCTCTAGCGCATTTTTATCATATTGATATTACTAATTACGATAAAATGCTCCTCGGCGGCGCGCATCGCGAGTGCGCGCGCATGTTAAAGCGCCACAATGTTTTAATAATACTTAACGGCGACACATAAATTATTTAAATCATGGCAATGCGTCATAACGTCAAGCGTATACCTTTCCGTATGTCGAGATATTCCGTGTCAACGTGAAACGCTATTGCGCTCCGCAGGCGGGCATTTTTATGCGTTTAGCGACTAAATTTTATCGACGGTCTCACACGGGCATGTCCCGTTCGGCTCGAGGAGGCTCGTAAAGCAACATTCGACAGCCCCCCGTTGTCCATCGCGCGCTCAAAGATGGCATCCGGCGTCGTAAAGCGAGATACGACCGGGCGGCGACGTGACCCCCCGCGAAAGATATGCAACTTTCGCCACGCACGCACGCACGCACGCACGCGTGTATTATATGCCGCGGTTATCGCGCTCGGTCTCGCCTATTCTCATTCCTTTTCCCTCGTCGCTATTTTATTTTTCCTCTCTTCTTCGAGGCGCAAATGGATTTTATGTCGCGGGTTCGTTGAACCGTCACCTCGCCGTCGCCGGACGCGATATACTTGATTGTTAAAATAGTAGAAAATACCCTGCGACCATGCAACGTAATGAAGACCGCGGCCGCTATACGTACTCGCTTTCTGTCCCTCTCTCTCTCTCTCTCTCCCCCTCTTTTTTCTCCGTGGGAGTGTTACGTGACACGTGGCGAACGTCCGCGATATTCGCACGCGAGATACGAAACGGAGACTCGCGACACGGACGAGATCGGGAGATACGCGGAGATAATCGCGCCTCGAAGCGAGACTGTCCGGTTGCGCCAACGACTTCGATTGACTCTTCAAGCACTCGCTGCTTTATTCCTTGCTCCGATATTGTGTACATGTGGATTCAGCACCATAAACTTTCTCTCGTTTAACATAATCGTTGTGATCTACAAGTCTTAAATCTAAAGCGACGATAATTTTTACTCAATTAATGCATTTTCACGTAATTTGTCTCTATTTTTCCTCAAAATTATACGTGTTTAAATTAACATTTTTTTAATTGCGCCGTTTTAATTAATTTTGTCCCTTGTTTACCTCGGAACTTATGCGTTCTTATTTTTATTTGTTAAAAATAAATTATAGTTAGAGTAATTTAATTTGATTACCTGCTCTCTAAGAGTCAATCAGTGAATTATCACTAAAAATAGTAAATATTCACTGATTTATAGTTATAAGTATAGCACTGAATTATTCATAACTTCTCACTGTTTTTAGTGATAATGCACTGATTGACTTTTAGACTGTCGATCAATTTAAAGAAATTATCTTCGCCTTTTATAGTCTCACAGTTAAATTAGTTCGATAAGTCCTCAACCATTAGAAGCTTTTTATTTAAAAACTAACGTACAAAAATATAATAATGGAAACTAAAAAAAAGTACTGAAATAATTCCTGGAACATTGCTACATGAGTAATTTCTAATGATTCAATTAACTGAGCTTCTAGTAATTACTTCAGTGCTTTTTTGGTTTCCAGTATTACATTTCTGCAAGGGGGCATTTCGTTATATTTATGATTAACGTAACAAATTTACCTAAATTTTCCGTAAACGATATTACGTCGCACAGAAAAAAGAGAACGTTTTCTTCAACGTGTTTCAGTGACAAAAGATCAGCGTCTCTAGATTTAACTTTCTCGATCTTCTATTATTGAAAAAAGAACTTGTCGCTTTCGATCGTTTCGCAAGTAGAATTTTCAACGCAAGTTTGTCAATTTTTTTATGTGAGAGGAAAAATATGCAATAATGTGTCTAATTCACAGGAAACTAACCTTTTTCGAGGGGTTTCACTTATTAATTCTGCGTCGGCAAGATTTCCACATTGGCCGTACAAGCACTTGCTGCTGCACCATCGACACAGTCGCCAAGTAACTCTAAAACAATATCGAATATTAATCAATCTCTCTCTCTCTCTCTCTCTCTCTGAGAGATGATTGTCATGAGAGAGAGACAAATAAATGATGATTCTGATTCTCTCTATGTCGCGGAATGAGTTCAAAGCACGTAAAAATGATACACTCATTACCTGCGTCGCCGTTATTCCTCGCGCCAATCGGTTCGTCATCGCCAGCCTCAGTTTCTTTCTCCGATTCGTCTCCATTCAGCGAGCACTGTTTCAATCATGGATACAAGGCGATTAGAAAATTAAGCCTCTTTCTCTCTCTGTCGCGGAATGAGATTGAAGCACGTAAAAATGATACACTCATTACCTGCGTCGCCATGATCCCTCGCGCCAATCGGTTCGTCATCGCCAGTTTCCTTCCCCGATTCGTCTCTATTCAGCGAGCACTGTTTCAATCATCGATACAGGGCGATTAGAAAATTAACACTCTCTCTCTTTCTTGCTTCTATTAACGCGTCCGGGATCTCTCAGCGTTGGCGGTTGACTTTTCTTGCGCGCTCTGATGCGACGCCTCGTTCGGCGTTGAACAAAAGACGCGAGGGTACGCGAAGGCAACTTCACGCCGCACGCGCGAACGAACGGATGCCATGACGGTTCTATTGCGCATTTCGTCGGCCGCGTACGAGATTCGAGCCAATTGATATCGCGCACGTCTCGACGGATGAAAGATACGCGGATGTGGATTTGATCCGGCACTCCCGACGATATTCCTCGGCCGGTTTTTAGCGCGGACGCGTTGCGAAACGGCGTGCGCAAGCAATGCCCGACGCCGTTCGCGCAACCGCCGCGACTTCTCGTAATCGTCGCGCCGTGTCTCTCAATTAGTACGACGTAAAAATGGATACGCTAGTTACCGGCGTCGTTGCTGTTCCTCGCAGCAAGTGGCTCGTCGTCGCCGCCGGACTCCCGTTTGCTTCTCGATTCGTCGTTTCGGGTAGACGCGAGCTTTCACAGCTCCACTTGCAATACGACGCACACACGGAACGCGGTTTCCCGCGCAGCTACCGCACGTGCGTTCCGCAAGACACCATTTAATTACGGGCAAGCGCTCGCTCGTGAACACAAACGATTTTCATTCGTCGATTCGCTGCCCGAGCCCGAAAACGACGCGTTCGTCATCCCCGAGGATTACATGCGCGCGAAACTCTCGGCGAAAAAACGCGACCCCGGCATTCGTGATGTTTCTCCAACTCGGAGGTAACCGACGATGATCGAATCGTCTCGAAGCAGCCCGACGCGATAGCCATCGGCATTGGGTAAAACCATAGACATAGTAAATGTAGACTGAGCGTCCCATTGAATAAGCTGAAGCTTGTGAAGAGAGAGAGAGAGAGAGAGAGAGAGAGAGAGAGAGAGAGAGAGAGAGAGAGAGAGAGAAGATTTAAGAAGACTTTCTTTCTCTGTCTCACCATCGTGACAAAGGAGGCACGATTCTTTTCTTTTACGAAAACGTAAGACAGAGAAAGTCTTCTTAAATCTTCTCCCTCTCTCCCTCTCTCTTCACAAGCTTCAGCTTATTCAATGGGACGCTCGATCTATACTTACTATGTCCTATGGGTAAAACGGACACAAGCGTTAATCAAGTAGGACGACGCGGGGAAGCCCGAAAGAGTCCTGTATCCAGGAGCGAACGACGAGAAAGCGGAGAAGAAGATAATATCTACGCAACGAGCGAGCCGCGCGAGCCTCGCGACACGACTAACTGAACTCTTGTTTCGGGCCGCGCGATTGACGTAAACACGCCCGGAGTTTCTTGGAATTCGCCTTCCTTGTCCCTCCCGGTACAGCGCGGTAGCGTCGAGCGGGGTGAGGTCGCGCGATTGAAGTAAACAACTCGCTACTCGAAATATGTCTTTTTTTCCCTCCCCCGGCACAGCGCGGTAACGGTCGAATGAATCGTGCTACGCAGAACGTTGTCGGCCGTGGGACCGTGAACGTGTCGTTGCTAACGCTCGAGATTGTTCCTCGTTATCGCGACGAGCGGTGTGAAATCTGTATTCCGAGCTTATTCGTATTTAAATCGACGAAGCGGCCGGCGTCCATGGCGTCGCGCCGGCCCGCGTAAAGGCCTGTCTTCACGATCCAAGAACTGCGCCCAAGTTACATTAGTTCCGAAAAGGGCGCAGCCAACCAACTCGCAGCTTTTATGGAATAGCTGCAGGTCGATTGGCTACACAATTCTCGGAACTAGAAGTTGGACCAAGTTGTAGCATCGTGGACACAGGCCTTTAGGAGCTTACGCATACGTTTCTCTTGCGAATGATTCAAGAATCCAGCTCGCGATCGACTGAATTCCCATTCGCGATCCATTAAATGTGACACGGTCGTAATGGATACGTTTAAATCAGACGGAGACGCGTAATACATTTGTACTTCCTTGAATAAATGACGATTTTAATATTTATACATTCTCTCTGAGTGATGTAAAGCCGAGATTCTAGAGTCGAATATTTCTTGGTGGGAACGCAGCAGGAATTTTTGGCAAGTAAGAACCGAATATTATTTTATTTTGTCGCGCGACAAATTTTTCAAGCGCATTGACTGGTCGTGGGATGAAAAAGTTTCTATTTTACAATCGATCAGTGAGTTTAAAATATTTGTCGTACCTACGGCAAGCGTGATTGGCCGCAGGATACAAAATTTCTAGATACTCGGGAATTTCACTATCCCGCTGTCAACATAATTGAAAAATTTGTGGCACGATAAATTTTTTAAGCCGTTGATTGGTTGCGGGCTAGAACATTTCTCGCTATTCGAGAACGTACTGGAAAAAGTACAACAAATGTAATATTAACTTAAGACGGATGTCTCTTGTCTAACCAAGTGTCGAAAGTATTTTGGTTTATCGCAGATCAGACATCTCCGCGGTTACGAAAATATTCATGATTTCCATTGTAAGATCGTGGAAGACACTTGTGGTTTCTTAAACAGTTGTCCAGCTACGACTTTCTCTAATCTACGCGCGTGATTTGTGCCCCTCTGAATCGTTTTGGCTTCTGTGCAATATTTGCGTCTCTAGATATAAATATTCAATCGCATCGCCAAAATCGCGACAGTTTCAGCTTGGCGCACTCGGTGTGGAACATATAAATATTAAAATTGTGATTTATTCAAGGCAGTAAAAAATGTATCGTACACCGCCCGATTTAAAGGTGTTCATCCCAATTACATCCTCGACACTCGAGACTCTGTAATATTCTCTGTTATGTCCTCGATCGAGAAAAGTTAAAAAGTATCGAACATTGTAAAGTTAATGACGATTCGTAATTGCGAGATCAGCCTGGTTTCTATGATGTACTCGAGCCGTGGTTCGCGCGACGATCGTAAGTGCGACATCTACATGTGATTTATTTCACGTCGGTCGATTGCACGTTGAATCGCGCTTCGCGTCAATTCCCTCTTCTCGTTCGATCAAAACGAGGTCGCCGTGCGCGAGAAAAGTTATCGCCGGTGCCGGGAGGTTTCGGGCGTTATTCGAGACGTGAGTACGCGATATTAATTGACTCCGATCGATGGACCATAGTGAAATGCCATGTTCGCCGGTTCGTCCGTTCGTCCGCGCACGCGGCGTGAAGTTGTCTTTGCGTACCCTCGCGTCTTCCGTTCGGCCAGAACGAAGCCACCGTGCGCGGGGAAAGTCGCGAGTAGCCGTGAGATTTCGGGCGACACGCTAATCGAGACGTACGCGATACGAAGTGACTCGAATCGTGATTGATAGACCAACGGTGACACGCCAGTTCGCCGCGTCGGCGTGAAGTTGTCTTCGCGTACCCTCGCGTCTTCCGTTCGGCCACAACGAAGTCGCCGTGCGCGCGAAAAGTCGTCGCGAGTGCCGGGGAGGTTTCGGGCGTTACTCGAGACGTGAGTACGCGATATTAATTGACTCCGATCGATGGGCCATAGTGAAATGCCATGTTCGCCGGCTCGCCCGTTCGTCCGCGCACGCGGCGTGAAGTTGTCTTTGCGTACCCTCGCGTCTCCCGAACGGCCACAACGCAGCCGCCGTGCGCGGGAAAAGTAATCGCGAGCGCCGGAAGATTTCGGGCGACACGATAATCAAGACGATATTCGATATCAAGTGATTCGAATCGTAGTCGACGGAGCAAGAGTAAAACGCCAGTGCGCCGCGCGGCGTGAAGTTGCCTTCGCGTACCCTCGCGACTCCCCCGCTCGCTTCGCGACAGTGGAGGACAAATGGCCGCGCTGCGTCGCGAGGATTCTTTACTCGCTCCAGAGTGAGTCCCGCGTGCGAGAAAGTACGCCGGAAGTGCCGCATTTAGTGTCGCGCGTCGCGAACGCATCGATTAACGGCACGGGGCGACGAATGCGAGACGCGCGCAGTCTCTCGCGGGGGGAAGTCGTTGGTTAAACGGAATTCGGCCGTGTCTGTTTCGCGCCTCGGGTTCGCCTCGGACGACGATTGACGGTCGCGGGTGAGTGAATTTCGGCACCTGGCGCGATACCTGAAGCCAACGCTCGTCTTGCACACGGTTCTAGCACCGCGCGGAAAACCCGCTGGCGAACGATTAGGTATGTCCGAGGGGGGAACCGCATTGTGGTGTACAGATTTGCGGCATTACTGGCCATTACTAGGCACTTTTTGGACATTATAAAGATTAAATAAGATAAAGTAATGCTCACATTAATGGGCATTGGTGTGGGAGATTTTGGTGAGCGGTTTCCCCCTCGGGTATGTCGCACAGCGCGCGAACTTCCATCAAGTGTGTGCGGTTAATTGTATTGTTAGTACGATAAATTGTTTGACGGGCTAATTACGGGCGCGCGCACGCGCGTCAATTTCGGAGCGTTATTCTTCTCCCCCGTTTTAATAAAGAAAAGACGGATCGATGGTTACAAGTTAATTATTCCAAATTAGAGACTGTTATTAACGATTAATATTTTTAGAAGAGATTGATTTAATCGAGATAAGAGTTGGTGGTGACGATACGTTATGCATTGGTCGGGATCGGCTGCCTGTAATTAATAGATTAATTGTCGTAAATTAGTTATCGCGGATTATAGAAAGGGGAGATCGCTGTGGCGAACCGTTCGCGGCCGTTCGAGAGATCGCGCGTGATTTAATTGATAGTACGAAATAGCGATCGCGTTATATTCTTCATTAGAATCCGAATCACTGCAGTTCGTAGCTGTTCGGGTCAATTATTATAAATCAGTTATTGTAAATTAGAAATGGGGGAAATTGCCGTTTAGCGCCCGTGTTGTAACCGTTACGTTTATAAAATTATTATTACGCGCGTGAATTAATCGAAATGTACGGCAGTAACCGGGCGGTAATCGCGATCATTTTCTAAATTAGCCGCGATCATTGCTCGCAATTACCGCATGTAGTTGTTGCGGGGGCGGGGGCGGAAACGCGAAATCATAA